TGATACTATCAATGTGGAAGATCATTTCAAGAAAATGTGCGAACAATCGGAGCATCTGCACACAGTCCTAAATAGGTGTGGACTTTACCAGGTATGGATTACGCACGGTACGAATAACACTTTGGGTTTCAGATTTTTGAGAAGGTTTACTCTTTACAAAAAGTGGTAATTGATAGCGTCGACGTTCGAGCCCGGTTTTTAACACGAGATAAGTTTTTTGTCAATTTGCGTTCCAAATGAAACAGCAAGTCATCTTCACGGTCGTTCTTTGCTTAATTATGGTTTTAATTTAGAGTTTATCGGTGTCTTCCCCTTATCGTTGTATTACAAGAATACTGCCACTCCACTAAAATGACGAGATGAGATCTCAGAAATAGAGACTCCTGTTCACGTTGCCTTGCTGGAGTCAAAGCAGATAAATCTGCAAAGTTGCGAGTTGGAAAATAGTTTATTAAAAAATGAGAATATCGATGCTGAAGTGAATTTAGAAGCGTTGCGTCAACAATAGGAGAATCTACAAAAAATTCTCACTACGAACAGTTTACATGATATTTGGATCAGTTTATCTAATTTGGAGTTGAAGTCGGATAGCGAAGAATTCAGCAAGGAGATGAAGACATGCAGAAAATTCACAATTTACGATGAAAACATGATGGGAATGATGATAGATTTGGTCGAGAGGATTGAAGTGTTATTGATCCTCATTGATCCCAATTCCAGAAGAAAGATATTCCCTAGAGTGTCTACTATTATCCAAACCAACATGATAGTGAAAAGAAGTTCCTATTTATAAATAATAATTTAAATAAATATATCTCTCTTCTTCTGAAAAACAAATTTGTGTTTTTATTAAAAATATATAAATTATTATTTTTTTACAAAACAAAATACAGAATAAGATTAAATTCTTTATAATATCATAAAAATACGTGAAAATAATATTTTTAGTATTTTTTTTTTTACAAATTTGTTAAAAATTGTACATTTAAAGTTGTTAAAAATTGTAGTTTCTTTATATTTATACAATAAATTATACTTTACTACGAGACTTAAATAAAAATGCAAATCAAACGTTAAATTAATTAAGAAAGTACGTACGTTAATATTATATTTTTTTTAGATACATTATTAATTCTGAACTATGGGGAGATTCGAAGCAAACAATACTTTTGAAAATAACAATACGATGATGAATATCGATGAGGTGACTACTATCTAAGGAGATTTGCAGAAGAAGAAACAGATCCAGCAGAAGAGTCGCGAATTAGAAATAAATTTATTGCAAAATGATACTCTCAATGTGAACAAACAACAATCGGAGCAACTGCACATAGTCCAAAATAGGTGTGGTCTTTATCAGGTATGGATTAAACTTTCAAATTTGATGCTAAAAGAAAAAAAGGAGGAAAAAAAATCTATTGATGGATATTGAAGAATACTGTAAGATGGTCATGACATCTACTAGCAAATATCTTGAAAACTTCAAGAAAATCAAGAAAAAGTTGCGAAGTCTGCACTCTGTTCCAATTAAACATCGCCGGTAAATCTGAATATGATGAGATAGTTCGGTTAAATGGTTTAGAAGGATGAAAATTTTCTGCTATTCGCCGATGGACATTCGAAGAGGTTCGAGTTAATTCAGAAAATATTGCAGTTCAGCTTTTACATTCTGAAATGAACTACATGGAAGGTCCTTTGCTTAAGATAATTTGGAAACAATTTAACTTGAAAACTGAGGTGAAGAGTCAAATGTCAAGAGTATATGAAAGAGTTTATGAGCAAAGCTATAATGTTACAAAATATTGATATAAAGTTCATTGAGCTACTGTGAGCTGCTCGAAAAAACTTACTAAAAAATTCACATTTCGGCTGTATTTAATTTTTGGAAATAAAATATACAATAATAAACAAATTATATAAAAAAAACAATATTTATTATTTTAATTATTATTTATTTGCTAATTTCTGTTTGGAAAATCATATGAAAATTTGTTAATTTTATAAATGAAAACATTGAATGCGTTTTAATTAAATTTGTGTTTGAAGATAAATCAAGATTAATATTGTTCGCATTAAAAAGTGTACTGCATTCATTCATTACAAAGAACATGCATTATTTCAAGGAATAATTCAAAACAGTTTTGCGGATGGGAATTGTTGCCGAGGAGGGAAATCCTGATATAATAGGGATCCACTTTTGCATCAAAAAAAGAGAAAAAGACAAGCAAACAAAAAAAATATGAAAGAAACAAAGAAAGAACCCAAAAACAAAGGCAAAACTGCATAATAAATTTGAAATTTATTAAACTTGTGCAAAAAAAAATAGCCATTTCTCACTCCAATTTATATTCCTCCGTATCCATGCATTCACTCTTCTCCGGAGAGTGTTTTTTTTTCTCCGTTCACAATATTTTTTTATTTAACATACAGACACAAAACTAAAACAATTTATTTTCAACCCCCTCCTTTTGTAAACTGTTGCTACACGCTCCGTTTTCGCGCCATACACACATGCACCCCTCGATCCACCCCTTCGCTTCCACCGGATGAACAAAAAAAAAGTAAGCGTTGGGGGTGGTTTGAGAGTGAAAGAGTGAGACAAAGAGAGTAAAGAGAATCGCGCGCGCTTAAATCAAAATTCCATTTTAGTTGAAACTCTTTCTTTTCGCGCATACCCACCCTCATACACACACACACCCTTCTCTAGAAATCTAATTTTCGCGCGAGATAGTGTAAACTCGAGCGAGCACAAAAGCTTTCAAATACATACCAGGTGTTCTATTTTGCGAACACCTCTCAACCCACTATTCCACTGCATCCTCCACCACCTTCATCTCATTCATTCATCCCCCCTCATACTCACGGTAACAGTTTTATTTAAATTAATAATTTCAAACGGGAATTGCGTTCCGTCCCGCAGTCGGTTTGCATAAACGAATATATATTAGGACTTAGGTGCAACTTGCAGTAATTTATACACACCGCTTCAATAGAATTGCATAGCTTTCCGTGCTTCTTGACATAATTGAATTTTCTGTGTGTGTCTTCTTGTTTTTTTATTCATTTGAAACATTTGTAACTACAAATACGATAAAAATAATATACATTTTAAAGTTAATTTTAATAATAATATTAATAATAAATTGTTGTTATTTGTTGTAGCATTCTACATTTCCTAATGGTAACATTGACAGATGTCATATTTCGAATCTTGCCAACCTTATGCAAAGAAATGGCGCAAAAAAAAAACTTGAAAGATAATAATTTTCTCAAGAAATTTAAAACAGACTGAATTTTGAAATATTTAAACAGGACTACAGTGATCAAAAGCGCACTATGCGAGGTATTTCAAAGAATAAAAAAAAATAATTATTTGAACGTTCTCTCAATAAAACATGAATAGAAAAGAAACGATAAAAATTTGTTACTATTTTATTAATATTTTTCAAATTTTAGTTTGTATTGACATTTTCAAACGAAAATGTGATAAATCCGGACTATAGAATCTATTTCAATCATTAATTATTTGAATAACCTTAATCTTGCCAACCTTATATAAAAAATAGCGTCAAATCTAGCGCTCATACTCATATCTTCTATAATTTGTGTTATAACCATATCTAAGAACAGACATTTTTTTTTAAAATATTGTTTCTAGCAATGTTTAAGGCTTAATATATGAAATGTTCATAGTTTTTAAGAAAAATGAATGAAAGTTGAATGTTTATAAAAAAAGCAAATAATTGAATTTAAAATAAATCATTGTTTTTTAAATTTCGTTATTTTTTAACGTTTTAATTTAGTTAATTTATGGTTTAAATAGAATCATGTTTTTAAATAAATATATAAATATTCTCTGTGGGGCGACTAATAGCCGAATGGTTAAGTCGCCGTACCTACCATTTCGTGGGCGCCAGTTCGAATCCTGGTCAAGCCAGGCCCTTTGTGAGCCCTCTCGGTGCTTGCAGCAATAGGGCCATCGTTCATTACAGACATACAGTGAAATGAATGAGGTTTAGCATATGGACCTTTTCAGCCAAGTCGATTGACACTGACAGTGTTAAGGATAACAGCAAATTTACAGTGAATGGAAAAAATGGAATCGCAGAATTACAAGACAGCAGCCAACCAACAAATTAAAAAATCAAATCATCATAATGGTAACTATCCACCGGAAAAGATTATCCATTTAATGTCAACCGCAATCTCAATGTTCACATTGATGAACAGATTGTGAATAAAATTATACGACATAAAAAAATCTCAGCTTATAAGAAAAATAAATCTATGAATGTTTATTAGTTTACAGAAAAATAACAAACATTCAATTTCGAAATAATGATTTATTTTCTTTCATTATTTTGTTTTTCAATTCCTAATTCCATGAAAAATTCGTTTGCTTTTGCAATTTAAATATTTAAACAAAAAATCAGTCTCTAAATATTAATATGAGTTTTCTAGTTTGAATCAGTTTTCTGAAAAGTTTATATAAATTTTGATTCAATCAATTTTTTTTTTAATTTGTATACCAATTTTAATTTTGGTAAAACGGTACAAAATCTGGACAAAAATGGGACAAAATCATAATAAAAACAACTTGTAAATAATTCATTTCTCTGTATTTTATTCTATAAGTAGTCTGGAATAGTTTAAATATGCGTGTAGTATACGCTTCTTGAAATTTTACAAACATTACAAAATTATAGGAAAATTGCTACTTTTTCGAGTTGAAAAGACTCGTTATAATTTAAGTAAGCAGATTTTAATTTTGGTTTACAAAGTCTAGAGTTTTGGATCTTTCTTCTTAGTCTTTTCTTTATATTAAAAAATAGAACATTCTAATGTTTAATTTTGTTAATAATGAAAAAAATACATGTATATGAATTTTTCCGAATTATATAATATTTTTTTTTTATAAAAGGTTAAGAAGTGAACGTGTTCACATGAATTACTTAATTAATATTCAATTCACTACTTGAGCCAAATCTTGATAATATCCATCCTGAGTACTCGAATTTTATGGTATAGACGTAGATAGTCCTGTGTGACAACAATGAAAAAATCATAAAGATTATCAATAACACGTGGATATTCCTTAATCGGGCTTAATGGGTTATCTATGTCTTTCAAATCATATATTTTTCTATTAAGAATATTGTTTTCCCTCATGTAATGCTCAAGAGTCTCTTTAATCTCACCTTTAATAAGTCTCATCCTGTTCCAAAGATCCGTTAAGCAATTCTCGGATTCAGGCCGCACTTTTTTACGGACATTCATGAAGGCATCCTGAGGCATTAAACGATTACAAGTATCATCCACAGCTCTCATAACCTCTACCACACTCGACTCATCGTCTGTTAGTACAAACAACTTATTCTGTTGCAACATTTTCGCGAATTCCAATTGGAAGCTTTCGGATTTCAAAAAAAACATAAAACCAGCAAACATATCCTCCTTCAGATCCTCGCGCATCTGCCTCATCTCTTTGCAAATCTCCACCATTCTCACAATATTCTTCTCCATATCAGGAGGTGGATTCGGATACAACACGGTTGTTTCGAAAACTTCCTCAATTTCATCAAACTTTCGCGTGTACTTCTTCAAATCCGCATAGATTAATTCAGTTAAATTTAGTATGTTTGTTGCAACATCTTGGCACCTGGAAGCATTCATATTTTCGGGTAGAGCGCATCTTTTCAATTCAACATGATATTCTCGAATTTTCTTCTCGAACGGTGAATCAGAGAATTTCGAATGTGGATAGAGCACCGTAATTTGTTCATTGATTTTTATTAGGATATTCCTTGTAGGATTTTCATACTCTTTGGCTATACTCATGTTGATATTATTCAAAAGACGTTTGCACTTCTTTTGAAAAGTCTTGTCCTGAATGATTTTTAACAACTGTTTTAAGAATAAATGTAGTTTTTTGAGTTCATTCCTGTGCTTGCACGACTCTTTTTTCATGTCATCTTCCACATCACTGATTTGTAGTGACATCTGTTTCAACTCCATGAGATATCGCTGCCAGTGATTTTCAGTTTCAAAAATATTGATACTCTTGTACCAATATATTTCCTCCATTTCTATAAAGATTTTTCAGTACAATTTTATGCGTTTGAAAACAGTCCAAATCAGGTAACTTCCTTTCAAACAAATAAATAAATTTACTTAGTTCTCTATTTTAGTTCTACTATAAAATCGATTTTTATTACTTGTTTCAATCTAAAACTTTCATTTATTTGTAAAAACAATTTTTATTTTAGCGATATTTTTTTTGTTTTGTTTCTTTATCTTCATAAAATATTTCACATATTGATTTTTCAAAGTGAATTGGCGATATTCAAAATAAGAAATAAACTCTCAAAAATGAACTCTGTTGTAGAAAATCATCAAAACTTTCTAACAACATGTGTACGGCGGATATATCCGCCCAATTATTTACATAAGAGCCTTCGCTTAAAAATTGCATGCAAAACCATTAATTCTAAGTAAGCGTTTCAAGCGTCTGACTTCAGTTTTGTAGAAACACGCAACCATATAAAAAAAAACAGTTGAAAAATATTCGTCCGCAAAGGATTAGTTAGCTGTAACATATACAAATATTTGACGGTTAATATTCAAAATGACGGACACGAAATAACAGTTTTTATTTTTCTGAAGAGCTAATTGATAAATTAGTCTTTAATTTTTTTCAAATGCTAAATTTAATTATGAGAGAGATGAGCAATGCATATTAGCATACCGTTTAGTATCTTGAAAATACAAAATTACGTATTATTGACAGTTAAAATATGAAATCATGCAAAAGTTAATAATAATGTAAAAGCAACTGCCCAAATATTTTGAATAGTTGAATTTTTAATTTCATTTTCATTACTTTTCAATGAGTTTTGTCCATGTTTCACTGTAAATTTGAATTTGAATTATTCCCATTAAAATACTAACATCATGTTGACAGATTTAAATAATAACAATATGGATGAAAACATGATTTATGTACATTTACACTAATAAATGATTTGATTATATTTTTTTAGAGATTTCGTGAAAAAAAAAAATGTTTTATCGCTCTATAATTATCGTCATAGCCAAACATAGACGACTTGTTGACAAACTTATATGCGTGAAATCTGTTATTTGTAAGGAAATACTTAATTATTTGATAATATTTGTTACAAGTGGATGAAAAGTAAATAGAGAGATTATATTTGTTTGAGTAATAAAAAATATTGGTAAAAGCGGACAGGGTGGATTTATATCCATTATATCAGAGATGAGCAGTGCATTTTATCGTCCTGTTTAGTATCTTGGAAAGTAGTCGATAAATTTATTATTTACTGCCCCAGACTCTCGACGAGTGTCGCGCAAGTTTTGTTGTTCGTCGCGAGCGAAGAAAGAATTATAGTGGTCTTCAGGAACAGAGCGGAGTTCGGAAAAATAAAGAAAGAAATAAGGAAGGAAGAAAGGAAGAAGTGTATGAGAGAAAGAGAGTTCGGATCGGTGTTTGTGTCATTGCTCATCGGTATTCGGGAGGTCGAAGGGATGGCGGATTGTGTCGGGGTTACACCCTCATGTGTTGTCTGCAGCGGTGGTAAGCCGACTCACGTACAAGAAACATGGCGCAATAAAGATGAGTGGGTGAGACTAATGCGAGCTGACAGCGACAGGTACGAAGGCAGATCTTTCAAGCAGATGAGTCTCTACCAGTCTCCTCTCTCTCTCTCTCCCTCATTCTCAAACCTATACCTAAGACCAATCCTTCTCTCATTTCCCCTTTTACATCCAATTCTACATGTGTTATGCCCAAAGAATAACCCACATCAATAATATTAACCGCACGTAATTTATCACACTACAAAAAATCCACAGTACGTACATATTATTAATTTCGAGAGATTTTTTTTTCTTCTATGATTATTACATCAAGGAACGTATGTATGCGTTTTTTACTCCACCATCTCTAAAAAGTTGAAGAATATTTCGAAAAAAGAACTATGCATTTTCTTTTATACAAAATTACGAAATGAATATGCTTTTTCTTATATTAGTTTTTTTAGATCCTTTTGTTACATTGTGTATGCGCCGGGTAATTCGTATTATATTTAGCTTTCACATAATCAAAATATTTCATATCTGAAATTGATTTCCTTAATGAAAAAAACTTAAATTTTTAATTATTTTATTATACATTTATTAAATAAATTATTTTTTTTAATATTTTTTTCTTCTTAAATATTAAATACAACTGATTATATTTAAAATACAACAAATATGTTATAGATTAGTTACAAAGCAATATTTAATAAAAAATATTAAAAAAAACATTAAGAATAATTAGTTATTAGATCTAGTTGGAAATTTATTTAAAAAAAACATATATTTCTTCATTTTTGTTTAATTATTTATGTTTAAAATTAATAAACCATACACAATCTTGATTGATAGAAAATAAACTGTTTTCTTTTTGTTCATTGATGTAAATTAATTATGTTTTAATAAAACGGATATTGCGGTTGTAATTTAAAAAGTTCATACTATATACTGTACAATAATATAGCTTAAAAACCTTACCTTTAGCAAAATTGTGTATACGCAAAGTCTGATGCGCCCTAGTTTCAGCTTATTAAATTTCCTTCCACGTTATTTTTTTGTCAAATTATTTTATAATATCATTATTATTTGTTGTGTTTACTTTATTCATCAAAAAATTATTACGTTACTTCCAAATTGAAAAATTATCTAAAATTATTTATTACTTTTACTGAAAAAAAAACAAAAAATATTTTTTTTGAAGGTACCTGTTACATATGTTGCATAAGCTGTCAAGTACATATTACATGTGGTTGCATGTTTCAGTAACGTCAAATTTGACAGCTCGTAGCAGACGAACGGATGACAGTAGAAAGCTGTCAGTTGACTCGTAGGAAAGATGAGATTTTCAGATTTAATTTGAGTATAAAATGATGTAATTATTCTCGGGTATTCATTAAAAACTGAATACATCGAAAGTCGTCGTTTTTTCTTGTTGTCTTATTTCTTCTTTTATTGCATGATACCTGATTGTACAATAAAATAAGCAAAAAGTTTATTAGTTTTCGGGTTATTCAAATTTTTGGTAAATTCAGACACTTCGAAATTCGAATTATCGATACTAGAATCGTTTCAGTGGGCTCATTCAAAAAATGGCAGTCTAAAAAGTATGATTCCTGTCAACAACTTTACAATTGAATGCTCGTAGCAGAGGAATCGATGAAAGAAGAAAGCTGCCAGTAGGCTAGAAAGGTGGAAGATTTAGTTTTAATTTGCGTGTAAGATTATGTAATTATCTTCGCGGTTCTAAAGACTATGGCACTTTTCACTAAAAACTGGAAAAACAGGAAACTCATCGAAACGTTACATAGCGAGGTGCACAATGCTTGCCCCAATTATACAATAAAATCGTAAAAAAGTTCATTAGCTTTCAAGTTTTTAATGATTTTTTTTTGTAAAACTGCAATTTTCAATAATTTTCAAGCGCTCCGAAAATCCAAATATCGAATGTTTCATATGGCTCATTTGAAAGGTGGTAGTCGAATTAGTATGATTTCTATTTAATTACGTAATTGTCCTACGTGGTTATCTTGAAAAAAGAACGTAAAGAGCTTGCTTTTCAAAAACTTCACATTTAAGCTTTGTTGAAAAGGTGAGACTTTCAGCTTTAATTTGAGTGTAAGATGATATAATTATCTTCAGCGGACTAAAAACTGAAGACATCGAAAATCCAATTGGACAAAATTTTCTGAAATTTTCAGGCCAGAGTGCGAAATATAGCATAAATTGCGTAATTTGTCTAATAAAAACTACACAAACGACGTTATTTACCAACCTATATAATAATTATGTAATAAGATGAATAAAAATACAAATGGAGCTGAAAACATAATGAAATAAAAATGTTCTCATATACAAACACAGAGATTTTTACTGATAAATTCTCAATTTCATATATGATTGTAATGATATTCGCGTCGCGTTAGAACATTAATCTATACGTAATCTATAGGTTTTATACTCCGCGTCGGAGGGTTGGCACTATTGAAAAAGGGGTTTTCAGAAATTGCGTTAGAATGAAATTTAATAACGTTTAATGTAAATTATGGGCGTCTTTATTTTATCCGCGCCGCTTCCTATATTTCGGGCTTTCCACGTTAATATCGTACTCCTCTCTTGTGCTCTCACCCTAAACACGTCGTGATCGTCCTCATATGCACAATACACTATGCACAGCAACTAAAATCCCATCCCTTCATCCCACCAACCCATCTCTCTCTCTCACACACACACACACCACCCACACACGTTTTATGAAGCAAAATTTATTATTATATCAGAATTTGTCGGTGCATTATAAATTTTATTGCGCGAATGAAAATTTTAATATTAAACTGCATTTCGTCGCATCTACACCCCCGACACAGCGCACAACAAATTTATTGCATTTTTCGTGTGTTTATTACCAACGATAAAGACACATACAAAAAAAGGACTAGTGTAATTATTTATTACCTAATATAAATTATAAATATTTTTAGCGATTATTAACGATATCGTCTATTTTAATTAGTATGACGTAATTTCAAGTTTGCAATATTATTAGACGTGATGAGGCCGAGGAAGTCTACATTCCAAGTTGATAGAAGTCATCGGATCACATAACCATACTTCACACGTGTAATAAACGTTATCTTTATCACTGGGACGTAAACGGGAAATCCATAATCAGACAGTCGAATGTTTGTAATATCTGGCGTGTAATAAAAAAGTTTCCTGCGCAAGATGAGCCGGAGGGTAATTTTATTGTTTGTTACACGTTTTGCTGCCGTCTCCAAGATTAATAACTTATTTCTCGTTACGGCTTTAACTTTTTACTATCACATCACTAATTGTTACCAACAGTTAATGGCTTCTTTAAAACAAAAGTTACAATTATAACTCAAAAATTATTATTGAAATCTCATTAATTATTACATTTTCTCTGTCATAATATCAATAATTAATTAAGAAAATTAAACTGTTTTTAAATTTTTTATGATTTTTATTTAAAATTAATAGTAATAAATTTAAATCAATTAATAAATTATCATTAAAAATCGATTTTTAAAGAAATTATTTTAAATGAAACTGATTTCAAGTT